TGGTACAATTAGAGTAGAGGGCCCCAGGGAGGGGCATGAGTTAAAGGCCCAGGCATGTCCGAAGATGCCTGAGGCCTAGTTTAGGCCAGAGTGGTCCACCAAGTGGCCAGGGGTCTAGTGGAAAATTTGGATGCCATCTGTGAGGCATGGGATGTGGTATAAGGGGAGATATGAAGCCATGTAGTACACCGTTGGTATTGGGCTTTAAAATGGGCAGCCTCTTGCTTTCAAATAAACAACTTATTGTTTACATGAAGGCATGGCAGGAGAGTGTAGGCCTGCAGACTGCCCAGACAGGGAGGTGGGCTGGCCGTGTGCCTGGTCCTGCTAGTTACCCTGTTACAATAAGTTCTTAGTCTTTTTAGATTTGAGGCACCCCTCAATAGACATGAGGTACCTCTTGCTTTACTAAGTCTGTAGGCTCCTGGAACAAAAGATTTTCTCCCTGGAAAAATGCTATCTGTTTATAACCATGAGGAAAGGTCTGAAAAACTGGGGTTATTTACTATAGAGAGGATTGACATGGGATTTGTTAAATCTTCAAAGATTAAAAAAGGTTGTTATAAAGAGGCTGGTGAGCAACAGCTCTCCCTGTCTACAGGGGACAAGATGAGACTTAATAGACTTAAATTGCAACAAGGGAGACTTAGGTTAAATATCTGGAAGAACTTTCCAAGTATGAGAGCTAATGGGTACTGGAACAAATTACCAAGGGAGATTATGACATCTCTATGATTGAAAGTTTTTAAATACAGATTAGGCAAATGTTTATCTGGAATGGTTTAGACAGAGAATACCTTGAAACACGGGTTTAGACTAAATGACCTCATGAGGGCACTGCCAGCCCTATTTTTCTCTGATTCTCAGGTGCAAAGATTATCCATGCAAATTGGATAGATAAATACAACTGGCTAATTAGATATCTACTTACTTATTTGCTTTTGCGCTTACCCAGTTAGCACATAAATACATGAATATTGTTAATAATTTTTAGCACACGATACTTCAACATGAAGTCAGGCTGTGTAAAAGAATTCTAAGGTAGTGTACCTAGTGGATTTAACAGTATATTTCTTCAAAGTCTGTACAAAAATGGGTGGGATACCAGAAGTATAAACATACTGTCAATGTTAAAGATGCGTATTTAAATTTTAGAAAACAATTTTATGAATTAAGCCAACAGTTTAGTAAAACGTTGGATTACATGCTTGAGCCCACTGCTGCTCAACCTATTGCTTTTAACTGGATTTAAGCGTTCACTTTTCTGAATAGCAAAATACTCCTCTGTGAATTTCTGTGTATTGGGTTGGAATACCGTGGACTGTATGTGAAATTTATGAAAATTGAGAGACCACTTGATTCTTCATCCTTATTATCTGCATGAAGTATCAGAGAGACTACAGGTAGTCTCTTTTATGTGTGCTACTTACAATTGTTTCCCCCATGAAATCTAAACAATTATAGTGCTTCTCTTGTTCTTAGTTTCACTTTATAGCAACAGTAATGGTCTTAGCATGTGGAATTTCCTGAGAATTAATGACCAGTTGGGGTTAATTGCCGGAGGTGCTGCTGAAGTGCTATCAACTCCTCCCTGCCAATCAGTAATCCTTAGGAAATGTCCTGTTCTTTGAAGTTATTGCTTTTAAAATAGAATAGGCCCTGTAGGCTTGTTCTGCACACATACTGCAGTGTTTAATATTCACACACAAATACGGGAGATATAATGGTTATTCCAACGCCCCCCTCCACCCCCACCCCCCCCACCTCTGGATCAGAAATGTGTAAAAATTGTTTCTGTATTTAAAAGGCAATAATAGAAACATATTTTGCCAATTAAAAATAGTCCCATCAACATAAATAGTGAACTTCCTTTTCTCTCCTTATTATAATCATGCTTCCTCTCAATATCCTTCTGCTGCTATTTCACTTCTTACTGATATTCATCAAGCATATTCTAACTGATGTTTGTCTTAGCTTTTCAACAAATGTCCAAATATTACAGAATGTAATGTAAACACTGTTTACATTTTTTCTGAAATTCTCTGTCTGGGTAAGGGAGAATCCATTTTATGGCACTCAGTTATTGCCAAATACCTATTCAATGCAGTATAAAAGGGAAAATATGTGCCTGATGGCAATTTTTCTTTGTTTGCGTCCTTTTATTTTGATTTGCTTAGGGTTATAAGATTGGCTCTAAGGAGAAAGTGAGAGAAGATATTCCTACAGAGAAATAATATCAAAGTTTGGTTCCAGTTATTTAGAGATGAAGGAGAGGTTGGTTATTAGCACAGTGTGGTCCTATAAAAGTAAAATAAAGTCTGATAATGAATTGCTTCATTTAGTTAAAGATGTTCATCTATTAAATTGAGATGTTCATTAGGTGACATTAAAGAAATACAGGTTAGACTATGTTCAACACCTTTAAATATCCTGTTGTTTGATAATTAAAAATTGAAAAATGCATTTGGAAAAAAGTTTAATAGTAAAATGGTATATTATGCAGTAAAATAAACACAGATAGTGAACTCCATACATAAGACTGAGGCAGAATTTTCCCTTTCACAAGGTGAGATTTCATGGCAAACTCAAGATTTGGTTGATCAGTTTCAGGTGTTCAGATTCCTAGGTGGCTTTGGAAATCTCTGCCTAATTAACCTTACTGTTTGTAAAAACAGCCTCTTCCTTGATAATTTTTTTTTTTTTTTTTTTTTTTTTTTTTCTTTTAAATTTTTTTTTTTTTTTTTTTTTTTTTTTTTATAATCTTTGATAACCAGCAAGTCTTTCTGGCAGGAAATGATCAAAATGATATTGTTTTGAAATTCTACCTGGGCTATCTCACCACATTTTGTTCTGTCCCTGAAACAAAACTATGCCCCCATCAAAATATGAATTCCCAAAGATATGAATGTCCTCTTTATTGGAAATATACATTCCATTTTTTAATTTTTTAGTATTTTTAGAATTTTCCATACTTTCTCTGTAAAACTTGGTAAATTCCCTTCAACCAAAAATAAAAAACATCAAAATAAATCTACCATTTCTCAATAGTGGCTATTTAATAGAAGAGAACATTCCCTTACCATTCAGCAATTAAATAAATAGTAGAATGGTCTAGGTTTTGAAGTATGAGTATTTATATGTTTGCATTAGCCACACAAATGTTTAATCCATTTTTAATTCTGCTAAACTTTTGATCTTAGTGGTTGAGGTAAGCTGTGAAACGCATTGCTTATGTATTCTTTAAAAATATGTTTTCTTTGATCAGTTTTAAATGAATTGTTCCATTTGTTTTTGTGTACTGAGACCAGTGTAAACAAGACTGCTAATTTACCTTCTCTACTCTGTTCATTAGAAGCCCGTATCACTCTCATTTTCTCATTAAACTAAGCAGAACACAACTCTCCTGTCTTTTCTTATATTAAAGGCTTTCTGTGACCCCAATCTTTTTTTTCACGCATCGTTGAATCCCTTTTATTTCTACTATATCACTTTTAAGAGTGAATGACCAGAAAATCAAGTGGTGATGTGAAGCACAAGGTGAGTAAAACCATCACGGTTATCATAAGCAGCAGTTTGAATGCATACAAACTGCTAACCAATGTCAAGTGCTTCATATCCCCCTGTATACCTTACAAGTTATAGCTGCTTAAGTGGCACCTCTTTTGTTCAGGAAGAAGGTTCCATTCCATCTCTACCACCTGGATCCAAATGAATCTCCCCACTCTATAGCTCGTTCATTTTGGTGGTGAGCAGAGGAGAGTGTGTAGCATTATTGTCTTGCCACTAAAAAAGACTTAATTTAAATAGTGGAATCATTCAGCATAAAAGACCAAAGTTTGAAACTTATAAAATCACTGGATATATTTAGTACAGGGATATTTTCCAGCATTCATGCATTTATATTATAGTCTTAGTATTTGTTGTGTAGTCCTGCAGTGGCACATGTTAATGATGGCTAATGCAGTTGTATTCCTGCCAGTCACTGGTCCTAGTGCCATTGTTTCCCATAGAAACAAAACATAACAGCATAAATAGGAATCGGAGAGAAGCTGATCATCACAAATGACTCATAGTAACTTACAACTTTAAAAAAGAAATTTGTGGGCAAAAACTAGCTGTTGAGGTTCTTTCACATCATTCTTTTGCCAAGCATGCAATTTCAGTAGACAGAAATGTGTAGGACATCTTGCCCGCAAGTTTTCTTCAGATATATTTTACTTCACGTGACTATTTAAGGGCCTGATTATTTCAAGAATTACAGGATGGAGAAATGTAAAATTTGTGTATTAACAATGATGTAAAATAATGTAACCTCAGCTCCTTGAAGCATATCCTCATGAATGTTTATGGGGAATGATCACACCAAAAGGGAAGTCAGCCAAACAAAAGTTATTTTTGGCTTATAGCATCAAATTATGCCTATTTACAAAAGTCACAGTGAAAAAAATCTAGAAATATAATGCAGACATTTATCCTGTTAGGGACAAAAATAGTATTTCCATGTTTTGGGTTAGAAAGCAATGGTATCTGATGTTTAGAGGAAAGGATTTAGAGCCTGAAGATTCTGAATTGTAATTTATTCAGGTTTAGAGAAATTCCCTGTGATTTTTGAGGCATGTTATTTAAACTTCTTGTTCCTTAGGTCCTATATGTTCCCTAAAAAGTTAACATACTGGAAACAAAGATCTATTGTATAGACAAAACTAAACGATCTTAATCAAGTTGACCTTTAGTCTCTGTGGTAAGGCCAATAAAACATTCCCCTAAAAGTTAGAAGAATCCAAATAATGGTTAATCCATAGTTTTTGTCATGCATTTTGCAATAAAGTGTTACAGTTGAAGTTGTTTATATAGCTTATAAATGAAAAATAGCATTGTAAATCAGGTCTTGTGATTCTACCAACCAGTAAAATTCTTCTTGAGAAATTATAAGTGGCAAAAAGGAAATAGGAATACTGTGCCAGTAATACCTTTTACATTGTTTTCTGATATTTCTACAGCTCTTCGAGATGCCAGCAAGCAGTCGATTAACAGTGACTGGAAGATAGAGCATTCAGGAACTTTCAATATTGCTGGAACTACTGTTCATTATGTTCGGAGAGGTCTCTGGGAGAAAATCTCTGCCAAAGGCCCCACAACATCACCTTTACACTTACTGGTATGACACAGTGGATCAGGGTTTTTTTTATATGATTTGTATATAATAAAGTTCAGCTTTTAAGTAGTTGTTACATGTTTCTGGAGTTCCTTATAATTTAATTAACTTGACAGTTTTTCCAATGTAAAATCATCAGATTTAAAGATGAAATCTTTTGTGAGGCAAGCACAATGCTTACCTCAGAAAAGGAAGCAACAAGAGATTTCGTTGTGTAGTCAGACTGTGTGTATAATATTGCAACTAAAAAGTTATTAACACAATTGGGAACAAATCATTAAAAGGATAGAGGATCCAGTTTGGAACACTCTTAATTATTATTATATAGTTGGGTTTACATACCAGTTCTGAGTAGTAGTGATTGAAGATTATTCCCGTAAAGTACCCACACAGAGGCCTATATGAAATTTGTTTGGGATAACTATTTCTTGCTCCCTTTGAGGGATGGGGGGATATGCAGAATTGTGAAAGGGAAAGAAAAAGTTGGTTGTGGGGGGGCACAGGATGGATTTGAGAAATGGCAAATTGTGTTGATAGAACTGGAAGGGAGAGCCCAACTAGTGAGTGAATGTGGTAGTGGTAGTGGGAAGATGGTTGAGATTTTAAATCTCACAGAGACAAGAATTTGGGGAGATATCTAGATCCAAAATTAAATTAAAGTCTCATGTGTTCTTTGTTTTCCATGTCTTGAAACTATTTTGTGACTAGCATTCCCTGAAGTTTTTTTTATGAAGAGATCTGAAGTCGTAAACTTCTATTTTATCACTTGTATTATTTAATATCAGACCTTTGCTGATAATATTCACAAGCTATGGAACATAGGTTGACAAAATGTTTGTATTTAACCATGAAGCATAACTACCTTGTAATCCATCTTTATTTCTAAAGAAAGGGGGTAGGAGGCATTTTTTTCTCAAATGAGTCAGAAGAAACTAAAGTCATCTTTTGTTCTAAGTTATTTCCTTATCATGGCTATTGCAGAATAATTCTTCTGTCATCTTTAACATGCACAACTTCTCTCCCATGCAAAACAACCATATCTTCATTTTTGGCAGACCATTGGGCAGAATTTAAATAGCTTGTAAATCCTAACACCTTCACACTGACTAAAAATATTGTGCATTCAACAGTGTGCTGTTAGTACATTCAACTAGGTGTGCTAGTGAAAATCTTTATAGTAAAAAGGAAACCCATTTGGAGTAAATGGTCTCTGATTAATTACAATGAGCAATGAATTAACAGTTCTCTTACTGTCATAGGGTCAGTTTCTAAATTAATATATCCATCTTTCCTTCCTCTGCTTAGGAAGTCAAACCCAGCTTTTGCCCGTGACCTGATTAGTCTAGTGCCCCCCCTTATTTTCTTATTAAATATTTCATGAGGTCATGAAGCCCCTTCCCTCATATGGTCCTTTCCACCTCTACTATCCCAACACCTCTACTCTCCCAAAGCCTATAACCAAGACAGCCTATAATAGTTTCTGCTAATACCAGAATACAGCTCTTTGTAAGATATTGGAAAGTGCACACACACATTCCTCCTTCTGTACTTTTCCAATATTTAACTTCCCAGATTGGAATTTGTCTTCTCCAATGTCTGTGCATGAATATTTACTTTGTGGATCTTTCAGGTGCTGCTTTTTCATGACCAGAACTATGGTCTACACTATGAATACACTATCCCCCTAGACCCCCTTCCTGAGAATCAGAGCTCTAAAGTGTCTGAACCCCTGTTTATGTGGACACATTCTGGTTGGGAGGACTGTGATGCCATGTGTGGAGGAGGTAAGTTATTTTTTGAAGCAGTAGCATCTATTTTTTGGATAAATATTAATAAATTAAATGCCATTATAATGTTTTAATAGTATTATCTGTAGGATAGCTTATACAGTAGGCACAGAAAGAATTCAGTGTTTTGCTTTTAGATTTACTTGAAGGAATTATGATGATATTCATAGGACAATTTTATATTTAAGTGGAGTAAATCAAAAAGGACAGTAGGAAGAAGAAGTCCAGTAAGCAGACTGATTTACACAGTTACATAAAATAAATGGTTTGTGTGTTTATGGGTGGGTGAGCACACACATTCATTATAGAGCATACAAATGTGTTTACATGTTCCACAGCATATTTGAAATGAATTATAAATTAACAGGAAATTCTGTTTCAAAGTATCCTAATAGCACTGACAAAAATCAAATAATCATGGACTTCTGTCGGGTCTCACTCGCATTGGCCTACTCATCTACCTGGTTAGTTGTTGCTTAACCAATTTCCTAGAGATTGCTCTACATTTAGTATTGTGCACCCCACACTGTGTTCTGTGCAGTTATAAATCATCACATCTCTTTTAGCTTTCTTTAAAGGTTCCTGGCATCTTTTGCTTCCAGAATTTTATTTCTATAACATAGAAACCACATTTCACATTATTCTAAGCCTGAGTGTGAATTCAGTATATGATATTTTTCATAAGATACTTACTTCTCTGAACAGGGGGGTTGTAACGGTTCATATAAGAAACTAAATTATAAAATTATATAAGTTTCTCTTACAGAATTTTTTTTCACTTCCCTCCTCCAAAGGATATATGGTTTAATAGTTTTATCAGATAAAATTACCAGAGACTACATATATAACAGTCATGCAAGCTTATGTACTCAACATTTTATGATTTATCTTTTGCTTTTATTTTTTATTAGGAGAAAGAAAGACAACTGTATCTTGCACAAAGATTATGAATAAGAATATCAGTCTTGTGGACAACAAGAAATGCAAATATTTAACAAAGCCTGAACCACAGATCCGAAAGTGCAATGAGCAGCCATGCCAGACAAGGTGATAGTGATTCAGTTAAATAAAGCTATAATTGATATTAAGTTTCAAATACCATGATAGTTGCAGTCAAATATGACTGAATATCACAAGACATAATGCATCAAATGTATTATTGTAGCGTAAAATGGAGAAAAATCTTAGATACTAACAAGTCCCTACCAACAATGCACTTAGGCTGCATATAAACTTTCAATCCTAGCAGTATAAACTTTCCACCTCTAGAAATGATTCCAGAAGAGGGAGCAGTACAGACGTTCAGTCTGCAACTGTTCTCTTTCCCCTGCTACTTCTGCCTTCCTGAGACTAGGGTGATCCCAGTTTGGGGAAAACATGGCCTCATTCCAGTCTTTCATTCCCAGGGGGCCTGGAGCAGCAGGGGAAAGCCTCCTGCCTGTTTCTCATACTGATTGGTTGCTTCTCACTCTAGGAATGAGTGAAAAGCAGGCAAGGAGCACCTGTCAGCTGCTCCTCCCCTCACCTCCTGATCTGTGAAAGAGGTGGAAGCTCTGCCATGTGCTGCTCCTGCCACTGATTGGCAGAGGGGCCCTGGTGGCCCCGCCACTTGTCATTGATTAGTTGGAAGGCAGAAACCATGGTATAGCTAAAACTGTGGCTTTTGCCTTCCAGTCAATCAGCAGCAAGTAGCAGGGCTGCCAGAGCCCCTTGGTCAATCAGTGGGTGGTGGGCAATACAGTGAACAGAACAAGATTAAGGGAACTGCTGCACAGCACACTTCTGCCACAATTTAGGTAGGTCCCTACTTATTACCAGTGGTGGCCACACACAGAGGTGTAGGAGCTGACTTATTTTCTGTACATGATGGGGAACAATGTGGCTCTGCCCTACTATAACAGCAGTGCCATATTTCAGTGGTTACTGTTCTTATGTTTTGAATTGCTGATGAAGTTACATATCTTGTGTATGCTTGAAGGGAGTCTCTGGATGTTAATGAAGAAGTCACACAGAAAATAATCATTGCTATACTTCATAGGAGGGAGGTCTGCATGTTGTGATATAGGCCTCACACAAGCTAAAAGTCTATTAACCTCAATGGGCATTCAGAAAACATCAAACTTGCAAAATAAGTATCAAAATTATAGCAGTGATAGGGTGAATATTTTTATGTGCAGCAAAGCAAAAAGTAAAATATTATGTAATACTAGTAAAGTACTTTGATGTATCATGCATAGTGATTGAACATAAAATACGCTTAGAAAGAACGAAGACTTGAAAAGAAAAGATATATAAACTGAAAATGATTAATATATTTTAGGTTTGACACAATCACTGTTGTCATATCTCTTGAGAATTGACTGGATTAAATTTTATTTCAGTTTATATAGCGAGGATCTGTTTTGTTTTTTTTTTTTGGGGGGGGGGGGTCTTTTTACATGGCAAAATAGTACCTGAGGGAGACGAATAGGACCAGTCTTCTCCTGAATAAGATGTGAACAATCATTTCTAAATGTGTTGCTATGCTCTTACTCACAATGAAGGTACCACCTATAGTTACAAAAGATAAACACACACATGAAAGAAATTGTTGCTACTGAAGATGCCATTTGAAGTAACATGTCATTTAGAATGCATGTCATAGTCTATAAGGGGAAAATATTATTTCTAGGGCTGTCAAACAATTAAAAACATTTACCACAATTAATTGCATGATTAAAAAAATTAGTTGCAATTAATTGCAATTTTAATCGCATATGGATGTGGGGTGTGGGGGGCTGTGGGTTTGTGTGGGGTTTGGAACCTGTGGAGGGAGGTCCTCGCACACCCTGGCAGCATGTGAGGTACTGTGGGTCAGGAGTGCGGAGCAGCAGCAGGGCCAGGGGGGCTGTGGTTTGGGATTGAGGGGCAGATACAGATGCACACAGACAGCACCCAACAGGTAAGTCTGTGGAGGGGAAGGGGTGGAGAGAGAGGGAAGGGGTGATGGGGGCAGATCGAGGCCCCCACAGTGAGGGAGGGAGTGAGGCAGGGGCAGGGACTGGGGTAAATGGGGCCCTGAGGTGGGGCTGGTTGTGGGACAGAGCCACAGGCAGCTCATCCAGGGGCTCCAGGGGGGGGGGGTTGGGGCTCCCCGCTCCGGGGTGGGGGGGTTGTGGCCCCCTGCCACTGTGTGCACCCCTGGGGGAAGATGTGGGGGTCATTTATCTCCTGGATTTGTGCATGGGGCAGAGGTAGTTTACCCTCTGTAGGCTGGAGCTCTGTGCCCTTCTGCCTTTGCCCTGGGAGCCAAGCAATGCCATGTTGTGGGTGGGTGGGCAGGGGATGCAGCATGGCCAGCGCACAGCTCTCAAGACAAAGGTAGGAGGGTGCAGTTATGCTTCATGGCTAAATACAAACATTTTGTCAACCTATGTTCCATAGCTTGTGAATATCATCAAGAAAGGTTTGATATTAAACAATACAAGTGATAAAATAGAAATTTACAATTTCAGATCTCTTCATAAAAAACTCCAGGGAATGCTAGTCACAAAATAGTTTCAAGACATGGAAAACAAAGAACACATGAGATTTTAATTTAATTTTGGATCTAGCTATCTTCCCCAAATTCTTGTTGAGCTGACAGTGGGCAGCCCGCCTCTGCCTCACAAATGTATCTGAGGGGCACATGCCCCTTATGCCTCCCCAGGTATGTGTGTAGTGGCAGGGAGCCACCCAGGGCTCCATCCCATGACCCACCCTGGGGCCCCATTCACCAGTACACCTCTCCCTCACCATGGGGGTCTCAATCTGCCCTCCCCTGCCTCTCCCCCTCCACACCACATGGTATGGTGCTCCTCTACATGCAGTATGAAGGCTGCAGCTGCTCCTGTGTGTCGATGTGCATGCCTCTCTTTCCCACCCACCCCCTGCTGAAACTTCCCAGAACCTGTTCCTGGGTAGTCCTATGGTCCTCTGTGCTGCCAACACTGCCCCACTGGGTGATCCAGAGGTGGCGGAGCAGAACCTGGGCATGGGCGTAGGCTCTAAAACCATGCACATGATTAATGCATTAAAAAATGAATGCAAAAACTGATTGATGTGTTAATTGTGAGCATTAACTGCAATTAATTGACAGCCCTAATTATTTCTTTTCAAAAGTAATATGCCTATGTGTGTTTGGGAAATTCTCTGAGTATAAAGTTGCATTGGTAGGTATTTATTGCCAACAACAGAAGAAACAGCCTGAACAGTTTTTGAATACCTATTCATACCTTCTTCTTAACAAGCTCCCATTTTCAAACTGAGTCTTTTGAACTAATAATAAAAAATACATATCTTTAAATGCGACGCCTGCTCACATTTTTCAGAACATTAGAACATCTACGTTACATTTCTGTTTTCAACATGCTGTCAGTTACAGCTCCACACTCTTGGGATGCAGCTGCACATTGCACCACATGCCAGAAGTGTTTGACTTTTAAGGACTGCAAGAATATCAGCCTTGGAACATTCTAGAAAGATTACATACCAGCAGCTATAGCTCTCCAAGTATTTTGGCTCCGCAGATCCACACTGACCTTTTCTTACTCCCAGAAGTTGTGATTTAAACTAGGTGTCCTGAGTAAAGTTGATGTGAAGGACACATACGGGAAAGGATTCTGAGGCACATGTTTGGACTTCTATAACAGCTCACTCAAAGGGCATGTAATTCCTTCAGTGTGGATCTGCAAAGGAAAATATTCAGGGAACAATAGTTACTGGTAAGTAATTTTTTTTTAAAAGTATTTGGCGGTACATTTGGGTACTGTTCTGATTGTGATTATAAGGAAGGAGAAAGGAAATGAAAGAATTATATAAAGGATTCTGAATAATGGGGTTCCATTGGGAAAAGAAGTAGTAATCTAAACATTAGATTGTATTTCTTATATGTGTGTTGGACTGGCAGCCTTTTAGGAATAGTGGTGTCCCCCTGGGGGAACAATTCTTTTAACATGGGAGCAACCTAAGTCCTATTATTCACCTATTTATACTTCTTTTTAGATGGATGATGACAGAATGGACTCCATGTTCAAGAACATGTGGAAAAGGGACCCAGAATAGACAAGTAGCCTGTACACAGCAACTCAGGAATGGTACCTTGATTAGAGCTCGGGAAAGAGATTGTCTTGGGCCAAAGCCTGCATCTGCCCAGCGCTGTGAAGGCCAGGATTGCATGACAGTTTGGGAAGCTGGAGTGTGGTCTGAGGTGCAGTATGTGCAATATTCACTGTTTATTGTTTGCATCTGGGCATTTTCTGGGAACGGTGTTGGAAATCATGGATGCAATACAGAAAACTCTTGTCCAAGATTTATCTGTAATTTTTACCACTGAAAACTGTTACCTCATGGCCTCACTTTAACTGCTTTGGAATAATTGATGGATCCTGAACCATTAACTGGTGCATCTCAGATTAAAGGTTTTACAGCTCTTTAGACTGCTGTTCTGGTGCCATTGCTATTAGGCAGGAATGAGTAATAACAGCCTCTGTATACAGTTAACCTCTTTTACTCCATTGCTGTTCTGAAATATTTCACAAGGTCATGGCATGCTGTAACAGAAAGCCCTGGGCTTTCTGTTCCTTTAAGAAGAAAAGCAGCCTAGCCAGGGAGCTCTGCAGGCTAGGCAGGGGGCAGCAGCTGCCAGTTGCTGGGGCAATTGATAACGAGGCAATTAGCAGCCAATCCAGACAGTCATCTGACTAGATGTAGGCAGGGCCATGGGAGCATATAAATCTAAGGCCAGGGCTGGCAGCGGGGGGAGGTCCCTCCCTGGCTGCCACAGGGGAAGGAGCTTCTACCCAGCGGAGCCACCCAGGGATGCTGAGCTGACCGTTGGCTGCCTGTAGAAATGCTGAGGCTCAGGGAGCTCACAAGGAGTCTATGCTGGGAGGTACACTGGCACAAGGGGAGAAAGGCTTTCCCCCTTAAAGGGGCAGAGGGCTGCTACTTTGTTGTTAACAAAGTAGCAGCCCCATGGGCTTATGTTATTTTGTTTCTACCAGTGGTTTGGGATGATGCTGGAAGAGGAGATAAGGAGGCAGGGGGCACTAGAATGTCTTATTGAGCCCAGAGCAGCACCAGAGAGGGTGCAGCCACAGAGGGGCCAGGGGCAGACAGGGGCCAGAGACCCAGTGACTGGAAAGGACAAAGGAAGCTAGTGCCTCAAAGCCAGGTCCAATTTCAGTAGGCCTAGGCTAGAAGGCCTAGTGAGATTAAAGGGGCAGAGGCCAAAGAGACTGAAACCCTAACAGAGGGAACAACATACTGGTAACACCTGTGAGGCATGGGGCATGGTAAAGGGGATGATTTGGAGCCACACAATTAGCCCTTAAGGCTTTGGGTGTTCTGCTAGGCATAGATGACTACAGAGGCCCAGCTAGGGCCCTGGAACCAGTGGGCCTGAGGCCTAGCAAAGGCCTGTGGGCAACCTCCCTGTATATTATAAACCATCAAGGCATGGCAAATGAGACAGGAAGGTGTCCTAGGGGTAGAGCAGAGCACAGTCACGGAGCCACCAGGGGGCATCACAGCCACCTCGGGGACACTGATGTGTTACTCATGCAAGTAACACTTACTTACTGCCTGGGAATGTCAGCTGGTAATTAGGAGCCAATAGAACTAAGTGCATTTTATTTTACTTTATCTTTGTCTTTAGACGGGTTCTTTATTACATATTTCTTCCATTTGTCCTAGCAGCACATGAAAAAAGTGCAGGCTCAGGGGTGATCTGATGGCCACCTATAAGTTTATCAGGAGTGACCACCAGTATCTGGGGGAACGTTTGTTCACCAGAGCGCCCCAAGGGATGACGAGGTCAAACGGTTATAAACTACTGTAAGACCATTTCAGGCTGGACATAAGGAAAAATTTCTTTACTGTCCAAGCCCCCAAGGTCTGGAATAGCCTGCCATTGGAGGTGGTTCAAGCACCTACATTGAACACCTTCAAGAGTAAATTGGATGCTTATCCTGCTGGGATCCTCGGCTTGGGCAGGGGGCTATACTCGATGATCTTCCAAGGTCCCTTCCAGCTCTAATGTCTATGAAGAAAAAAAAAAAAAGCATCTGGAGACAGACAAACGGTAGCAGCAATTGGCAGGTTCTAGTCCAGGGGTGGGAAAATATGGCTTGCCAAGGGATTTTATCTGGCCCATGGTGGGTCCCTTGGCCGCACCTGGCCCAGGTGTGGGGGGCAGTCCAGGCTGTGGCATGTGCAGCTGGTCCTACCACCTCCTGGGCATGGAGTGGGGTGTGGGCAGCATGGCAGCTGGACTGTCATTCCCAGTCTGTTCCACACCCACTGCTAGGGGCACTGGAGGAAGAATGTGGACAGGCTGGGTCTCCATGGAGACTGGCGTGGGACCCCAGCAGGCAGGTCACACTTGGAGGGGCAGATGGGATTGGGGTTGTGGGCAGGCAGGGGGTGGCATCCAGGAGCAGGACAGGTGGGCTGGGGTCAAGATCGTGAAATGGTGACAGTGTGGGACTGGGGCCTGGGGCAGAGCCACAATCTGCTCCCTTCACATCCCTGCCCACAGAACTGGCACCTGTTGCAGGCCCTGGCCCTGGCCCTGTACTGTCTCTGCCCCATGATCCTGGCCCTAGCATCAGCCCCACCTGCCTGCCCCACTCCCAGATGCCACTCCCTGCCCACTTGTAGCCCCCAACCCATCCACCTGGTGGAGTACAGTCTGCCCACAGGGGTCCTAGGACAGTTTCCATGGAGACCCCACCCATCCACCCATCTGTTTGGTCCAGCATCCCTGGTAGTGGGTGTGGGGCAGACAGAAGGACGAAAGAGGGTGTGAAGAGGCATGTGACTAGGTAAGGAGCACAGTAAAAGAGGGAAGCAGTCATTGGTAGCAGCCTGATGAGCTAAGTTCTGTGACCTTCCTAGGGGAGAGTGGACAAGTAAGGGAAGTGTGAAGACCTGCAATGTGGGGTGAGTGGACAGTTGAAAGGGAGAACAAGGAAATCTGGTGATCTGTTGAGTATACAGTGTGGAGGTAAGGAGAAAAGCACAATGCAAACTGGCTGCTCATTTTCAGGACCTCACAGTTCTTGTCCTCAAAGGGCATCTAAAACAATTCCTTCAGAAAATGGGCCTGTGAACAGAAATTCATCACTCGACTGCACATCAAAAACCATGGACCAAGACCTTGCTTTGATGCATCATTATATAGCTTAGCTCTTACTTGTTCTCTCTGCTGTTTATTTGCTTGACAGATCACTTCCCACTTCCCTTTCAAGTGGTCAAATTAATTGGCATAATGAGGTTAAACTAAATTAGTTGTTCTGAATTGCACCTAGCTTGGACTGTAACTGCTTCATAGAATTATAGAAAATTAGGGTTGAAAGGGACCTCAGGAGATCATCCAGTCCAACCTGTTGCTCAAAGCAGGACCTTCCTTTCCTAGTTCTGAAGAAGGGCTCTTAAAAGCCAAAACTTGTCTGCCATCTCCTCCAACTGTACACAGCCATGCTATTTTAAGGCAGTTTTCACACATTATTGCTCCAATAGATTTCTTTTTTTAATTGTAGCAAAGAGATGTGGTAAAACAAATTGGACTGCTACATATATACTTTTAATATATAATTTTGCAATTTTGAAATGAATTCCAAAGAAGGTCTATTATTTGCATTTAGGGATTTTTTGAAGTTTTATTCCACCTTTTTCTTGAAAACAGTAGTTAGAATTTCTTACATTATTTCTCATTTAACTTTCCTCTATTACTTTTTATTTTGTGGGTGTGCGCACATCCATTATATATTTGGATGTCATACACTGTTATAAGGGGGTTTTGTGTACTTCTGTTTTAATCCTTATCTTAACTAGTTCAGCATCAGAACCAACGAGAATAGAGTAATCACAAAACCACTGAAGTCTTCAGTTTTTTAATTTTAATTTAATTTTAATCTAACAGGAGGCCCAAGAGGATTCATGGTTAACTTGGTGTATTCACTCCTTTGTCCTTCACTCCTGTGCAATTTCTGTGACTAATGTTCCCCAGACAAATAAATATCTATGTTAGATATAAGCACACCTTAATGTTCCAGTATTTTCTTTGGGTACTTCTTTGGTAGAGTAAGAAGGAAAAACATTTATATTTTAAAGCCAAAGGCAATTTATGTCTTCTGTGACCTACCATTACTACCAGTTATATTAATTAATTAAAAGGAGGGTTTATATTTTATTTAAAGCTTTTGCAACCATGGGCTGCTGCTTATGACCCAGCTCCCACTGCAGGCTGCATTCCCCACAGCTCCTCGATGATCAGCAGATGCTGGGAAGGGAATAGAGACAAAAAGTTGGGCACTAGGACCCTGGGGGTGCCTCCTCCATTGCCTTAGCTGGAGTGTGCAGCCAGTTACCTATGGGCTGGATCTAGTGTCTTCAAAGGCCAGATACAGCCTGCAAACTGTAGGATTCCAACTCCTGATTTAAAGTAACTTTTTACTAGAGTGAATATTGCCCAGTCTTTTATCAGAATCGTATTGGAGGCTGCCTAAATCCTCTAGATTGAATACCCAGTCATTTATGGATGTTGCACAGTTGTAAATCACACGTTTCTGTTTCCTGCAGTGCTCTGTAAAATGTGGCAAAGGAGTGCGACATCGAACAGTGAGGTGTACCAATCCCCGCAAAAAGTGTGTTTTGTCCACAAGACCGAAAGAAGCAGAAGATTGTGAGGACTATTCTAAATGCTACGTTTGGAGAATGGGAGACTGGTCTAAGGTGAGAGAACCTTGGCACTACTGCTGCAACATAAAGTAGACATTTTGCAAACAGGGTTTCTTGGAACAAGTACTGGTTTTATCAAAGATACATCAGTGACCCAAATGAGTGAACAATGCAGGTGCAAATAAATATAGGCATATATAATCATATTATACACAAAGGCAGGTGCTAGGACCTTGGGGGTGCTGCCTCTCCTGCAACTGAGAGTAAACTGAATAGTAAACTGAATGTGGCGAGCAGTAGTCAAGCTGTGAAAAGAAAACAGGCCTTAAACAGAAAGTGGACACATGAAGCACAGGCCTTTTAATATGAAGAGGTGTTGTAAGTTCAGGTACAAATTATAAATTGGTCATTGGAACCATGTAAATTAAATATAAGTGTAATTGTCCTAGATGTACCTGTGGTTCAAGTAACTAGGTATGACTTGTAGCTAGATATGGTTAACTAGCAAGGTGGAGAGCAGAGGGAGGCTCTTTTCAAGAAAATGATAAATACAACAAGGTCTGCAAAATCAAGAAAAGCTGAAAAGCTCTTGCAAAGCATCTATCAAAAAAAAAAAAGAGAGCTTAGAAATTTCTGTAGTCTTCTGGCCTGCCTTGTCTATAATGGTGACATACTATCGGGCAAGTAGTTACCTCTCATTTGTGCTCTCTGGGCCAAATTCTGTGACCCTTTACTCACCCAAATGATCATTTTCAAAACATGTACATAGCATTTTACACACAGGTTACAATTCTGTTACCTTTTATAGTGTGGGCAGATAAGCTTTAACCAGGCAGTATCCCGGGTTAGACATTATCCAGTCCCCTCTTCAGCCCTGCTTTTGAAGCTGAGCCAATGCCCCTTGCATTTAATAGTCAGTGGCTAGAGAGTGCTAGGGAAGGGTTCTGTCTCAGAGAGAAAGGGCCTGCTCCTCCCTAGTGCAGCATCCGTATCACTGAGCTCACACCCTCTAGTTTGTTCTCTTTCTCTTAGCCCCAAATGTCTCCCTCTCTCTGTTGCCCATGGAACCAGATCCCAAAGGAGGACTGGATAATGCCTGATCTGTGGTTTGGTTGTAAGTCGAAAGTTACATGTTACAACCTCGTCTGAGTGGGGAGGTTGGGGCCCAGAACCTGGTCTCCCACTGCCCTAACCCCCAAGCTACTGTGGCTAAACATTAGGTATCATTCTCCTCCAGCATCTAACACCCACTAGTCCTGGATTTTTGCCAGGTAGAATGTTATAACTTCTTCATACCCAGTGTACATACATACATAGCCACATAGTTGCCTAGTCAGTGCATAGCCTACTGCATATACTCAGCAGCCAGAGGGCTGCTTACCTATCCATGGTCCATGGATGTGTAAGCACTTGCTAACTGTGCATAAATTAGGGATGTGCAAAACGGGCCATATTCAATTTGGATTCAGATTAAATCGGGACAGTGATTTGATTGATTGGTTCAGATCACTGTCCCCGATTTCATTCAGCCGAATCTGAATCTTAAGATTCAATGCTGATTCAGCGAATCAGAGATATCGCCATAGACACAGCTTTAAATGTTTTTTCTACATAACTCAAGGTACCAGGCGTGGCTTACAAATGCTGAGATGATGGGGCAGATGGACCATCCCACAGGAGCATGGGGGGGCCCCCCACATGCTTGGCAGTGAACCCAAAAGTGAACTGGAACTACTTCCGGTCCCCTTTCGGGTCTGCTGCTGAGTACGCTGGGGGCCTCCCCGCGCTCTCCCAGCTCAGCAGTTGGCAACGCAGTGTCCCCCCCAGACCCAGGAGGCACCAGTTGCTGAGCCGAGAGGGCAGAAGTGGATCAGAAGTGCTTCTGGTCCACTTCCAGGTCCGCTGTCGAGCATGCTGGGGACCCCTCCATGCTTCTGTGGGATACTCCATCCACCCCACCATTTCAGCATAAACGAGCCGCCTTGTACCTTGAAGTATGTAAAAAAAAACATTTAAAGTTGTGTCTGTCTGAATCGTCAAATTTTTCTGAATCATTTCAGAGGGTTCTGATTCAATTTGCAGAGATTAAAGGGTCTCCTGATTCAATTCAGATTCGAATTGAATCAGCAACCGAAGCTTCGCACAGCCCTAGTATAAATGTCCAAAATGTCACTCATGCATCTAGAAAATTCTCATTTGGGTGCATAAGAACACAGACAGCCTCTTTTCTACCTTGGAGAATGCAAGTACAGTAGTCTCCCTTACTTACCTTTGGCATTTTTCCCTCTTGTTTCTTCTCCCCCCGCCCCCATCTTTTTTTTTATTTTCCTAATTTACACCTGTTTACATTCACACTGACATCCTGTCACACTTTTAGCTTCTTTCATTCCTTGGAGATCTCAGAACAGCAGAGACTCCCTGTACCTGAAGAAGGGTGATTGGGCCTGAAAGCTTGCAATGAACTATTTTTCTACTACTCAGTTGGTCTAATAAAAGATATCACATCTACCCAAAGAACCTTGCCTGCCTATGTCCTTAGAGCAACATGGCTATAACCAAAAATCTAGCAACATGGAAGATATCGAATATTCTTTTACCAAGTGACTTGATATTGAAACAGCTCCATGCAATCCATTTAATGTCACTTAATGTGTTTTTACTAAAAACCCAAATACCATCTGTAGTAATTTATTTAGCAAATGAGCCCTGATTCAGCAAGGTACTTAGGCACATTGCTAACTGTAACCAGATGTTTCAGAGCAGGCATTTGCTTAAGGTACTAATCAGACATTTAACTTTAACTGTTGGATATAATTTACTGGAATTCAGAATAATAGGGAAACACTGAAAGTGACCCTTGAGAATGATTCTGTGGCAGAAAGTTTCAAAATTTACCATATTATGGACTTCACTTTAATAAAGTGATTGTCTTTTGAACCCCCTCCTTTTCTATTAATAACTATACACTCCTCTCTCTTCCTACTTGCAGCCATATAACATCTTTGCAACAACTATAGAAATTACTTGCATGGAGAAGTAGTTAATGTATTTTTAGTTGTCTTTAATGTGATATTACAGCTGGAAACAAGGAGAAAAGCCCTTCAAGTGCTCTGTGGACCACAGGTGGTTCATAAAACTCTTTTTGGGAACTCCTATTTTATGGTCACAGGGCACAAAAGCTTGCATACAAATCTGTACCCTGTTTCATTTACTTTCATTCCACTTGCAACTTATTTTTAATTGTTTTTATTATTATTTTGCTAAAAAGGGTTGAGCCAAGTTCTTTATTTTACAGTGATGCCTATTTTTAAAATTAATCTACTGTTTGAAACACATTCTTAAAGTGTAGAAGATAACATTTTTCCCCTCCTGGTAAGTGCTGAATAGTATGACATAGTGTCATCATGCATTGTTCAAACAAGAGTTAGGAACAGTTAATAATTATTTATAAGAAATACTTTCAAACAAAGATATATATGTTTCATAGAATCAATGGACTGGAAGGGACCTGTAAGATCGTCAAATCCAGTCCCCTGCCATAAGCAGGAGGTTAATGAGCTCAAACTAGCTCAAAGAGATGCTTGTCCAAACTCTTGAACACCTCCAAGGATGGTGACTTGCACCACCTCTGCTGGGAGTGTGTTCTAGGTTCTAGTTACCCTTATGGAGAAAAAGTTCTTCCTTATACCCAGTCTAAATCTTCCCTCTAACAGTTTGTGACCATTGGTCCTTATCCTCCCCATGGGTGCCTTCCTGAAGAGTTGCTCCCCTCTGATATACTTGTAAGTAGCTATCAGGTCACCTCTCAGCCTTCTCTTATGCAGACGGAACAAGCCTAGTTCCTGGAGTTTCTCCTCATATGACCTATCCTCCAGGCCCCTGATCATATGGGTGGCCCTTCTCTGCACCCTCTCAAGCTTATCCTCATCCTTCTTGAAGTGCAGTGTCCAAACCTGGGCACAGTACTCCAGCTGTGGCCTCATCAGTGCTGAGTAGAGAGGGAGAAGCACCTCTCTGGGTCTGCTGGCAACATATCGGCTGATGCAGGCCAGAGTTCTATTTGCCCTGCTGGCAACTTCATCACACTATTGGCTCATATTCATCTTCTGGTTGATTGTGACCCCCAGGTCCCGTTCAGATGCTGTGCCAGCCAGTGGGCTACCACCTATCCTATAGTTATGGTGAAGGTTCTTCCTACGCTGGTGAAGGACCTGACACTTTTCCTATTGAACCTCATCTGATTCTGATCAGCCCATAGAACCAGTCTGTCTATGTCATGCAGGATCCTTACCCTATCCTCTGGTGTGCTTGCATTTCCCCACAGCTTGGCATCATTGGCAAACTTAATCATAGAGCATTCCACCTCTTCAAGTCATTAATAAATGTGTTGAAAAGCATGGATCCAAGCACCGATTCCTGTTGGACACCACTGGAGACAGCCCTCCAGGATTAGGCCATCCCGTCGATTACAGCTCTCTAGGACCAGCCTCTAAGCCAGTTATTCACCCACCTCATTGTAGGCTGGTCCAGGCCAGTACTCTCTAGTTTAACTGAGAGAATTTCATGGATAGACAGAGTAAAAGGCCTTACTGAAGTCTAGGTAAATTATGTCTACCTCATATCCCTTGTCCAGCTGGTTAGTTACCTGGATGTAGAAGGACACCAGGTTCCTTAGGCATGATCTACCCACCACAAAGCCATGCTAGATGTTTCTTAATACACTGTCAGCTACAAGCTTGTCATTTGATGGCCTCCTTAATAATTTTTTCTAAAGTTTTTCCTAGGATTGAAGTCACACTAACCAGTCTATAGTTTTCAGGGTCATGCCTCCTCCCTTTCTTAAAGATGAGTACTACGTTGGTCGTCTTCCAGTCATGTGGGATCACTCCCAAGTTCCACGACTTTTTCAAATAGCTTCACCAAAAGCCCTGCTGTGAGTTTAGCCAGTTCTTTTAGGACACTTGGATGTAGGTCGTTTTGGCCAACAGACTTGAAAACGTCCAATTGTCTAGGAGGACCCTCACTTGGTCGGGGCTGATTTCATGTTGTGTGTT